TTACAGATTTTCGCCACAGGTATTCAAGAATCACATCGGCGAAATTAGCCGGATTATTGTAGTTATATTTTTGATGAAACCGTTCGATAACTTTCCACTGTGACACCGGGTCACTGTTGTTAACCTTATGGTGCTCGTATCCGTAACTGGAGAGACAATCATACGCTTTCCAGCAATCGGTATGTATGATTGTCCTTTCAGCTACGTGTTTTTGGATGAGTGGTACGAGCACCTCCTCCGATCGCACGTTGCCCGGGCCCACCTCCAAACGTAGATCCTCCGAGCCGTCCTCGATCATTCCCAGAAACCAATGGCCTTCGACCATTCTCCCTAAAAAAAATTAAATACAATGTTAAGAACTATACAATAACAAAATATATAACTATTACCTTTATTGTTCTTCCGTTTCCCAAATTTGCTCTCATCGATTTGAACAACCTTGCCCGGACCACCAATTTTTCCCCCAGTTGTTTGCTGGTCGATTTGGTACAGCAACACGGTTTCCCTGCAGTAACTGTACCAATCCGTGATGGTCCGGCTCGACAAGGGCCCGCCAACGTAATCGTCGAGCATTAGAATTATGCGCAAAAAATATGTGGGAAGGATATTCGAGCCTTCTCAAACCAGGTGCCTTTTGCCCTTGACACACTGGATTTCTCCCTACATTTTCCTATGAGGCACCATTACCCTTAGCAGTAGCTCATGCTGCTCTGCAAATGCTATGCATTGGCCAATAGTTCCTAGATTGTCCCGCATTTTATGGATGATCCACACTGCGAAAATCCTCCGCAGTAAGCTGCACCCGTTTTGCTGCCGCTGCGTTTGTAGAAGGAACATCAGATTTCGCAAAGAATTATGCTCAACACCTATATTCATAAAATTTTAAACGTAATTAGACTTACCATACTCGGTGTCTCTCATTTTAATTAGATTTGAATTAATTTTAGACAATTGTTTTGGAAAAATAGAAATGTAAATTAAATCTCACTGATTCGATTCTTTTAATATATACAATTGAAAATAACGGCAGTTAGTTTTTCACACGTAGAAGGAAAAACGAAATTTTACCGTTATTTTGCTTTGCTCTTATTTCTTTAATTTTAAAAGATGCCACACCTGCAAAAAATAACGCCGGCTTCGCCTTGCACAGTATTTTTAAGTTGGCGGCCTTTGGCCGCAGTTTTGATTGTGACCCTGAGCCGGACCAACACCGGCTTCGCCTTGCCCAATATTTTTAGGCGAAACTCCTTTGTAAGTTGGTGGCCTTCGGCCGCGCTTTTGATTGTAACTCTGGGCCGGACCAACACCGGCTTCGCCTTGCAAATTATTTTGTCATTTCTTTCATGAAGTATAAAAAATATGTTTTTAAATTATAATTGTGTACATACAACCCTGTACAGTATCATATTTTTATTTTTATTCTGTATGGCAACACCCACTTGTTGTTATTGTCAGACATTTCCCTTGCAAATCATATCGAAATAATATACAAAAATTAAATAATATTTTACTGCTAACCAAATAAAATAAAAATACAACAATTATTAGTAATCGCATGTGAACAGATCAAAGTTGGTATTTCGCATCATGTATGTTAAATAAGTGCAAGTGCTAAGTAAAAATTTGTGATGAAAGTGTGAATTTATTGACAACAAATTATATATAATTTATAAACATTTATGTGATAATTTTGATAATTAAACATAGATTCGATCAACAGCAACAACTCGTGCAAATTTCATTACGATTGGTCAATTAGTTTGGCTGAAACAAGCATTGGAACCATAATGGAAAGCACAGCCCAAAATTTAACTCAAGCCTTTCATACACATAATTTTAGACCGAATTCAAATTCTATTAAATTACCTAAGCTTTGGAATGAATGTTTTGAAGCATGTTTTTTGCTTGTTGAAGGACAATTCGAAATTAACAACATTTATATTGATAACATTAAATTTCAAAATGTTTTAATTTCTCTTCAACGATTTCAAAAATTGATTTAGTTCGTGCACATCATCCAAGCCCAATAGCTACGGGAGATATACACTAAACAGCAATAATCACCCCTTTCGTAATGTTTGAATTTGTACGTATTCCTTTCGGGCTTAGAAACAGTGCTCAAACATTTCTACGATTTATTAATGAAGTATTTTGTGAATTAGATTTCGTATTTGCTTACATCGTTGATATTCTAGTAGTTAGTGATAATGAAGATCAATATATTGAACACATTAAACCTGCTAAATGTGTTTTTGGAATAAATAAATTAAATTTTCTTAGCTATGAAATTTCAAGTGAAGGTTTCAGACCTTCTTTAAAACGTATTGAAACAATTTTAGAATTTGAAAAACCTCAGTCGATTAACAAATTACAAAAAATTTTAAGTATGGTAAATTATTATCACAGATATATTAAAATGTTAGCAGCAAAAATAAGTCCTCTGCATGAAATATTAGCTTTTACAATAAAAAATAAATTTGATGAATTAAATTGGACAGATGAAATCACACAAGTTTTTGAAAATGTTAAAAACTCATTAACACATTTTGACAAAAACGGTGAATTATCAATTGCAGTATATGCTTCAAATGTTGCTATATGCTGTTTAAAACAAAAGAGTAATAACACATTAGAACCATTAGACAAATTAACTTCAACTGAAATTAATTATTCAACATTCGATAGAGAACTTTTAGCAATATATAATTCAAATAAAAATTTGAAACATGTTCTCGAAGGTAGATTTTCACTGTTTACACTGATCATAAACCATTTACACATGTTCTAGATTCCAAAGCAGATAGATCTCCTCGTCAAATTAGATATTTAGAACATATTGCTCAATTTACTAATGATATTAGATACATTTGTGGTCTCTTTCTCGTATCCCAGAAATTAATTCAATGTCAATTTTCAATACCTCTATGGAGAACAACAAAAAGATGAAATACTTAAAAATATTATTTCAGACCCGAATACCAACAGTAATTTAAAAGAAATTAATGTACCTATTCTAAATTTCAATATTTGGTGTGATGTTACATAAACACCTTTGAGACCATATGTTCCAAGTGTTCGAACAACTCGACGTCTTCTTCAATTTAAATATTTTTGGCATAAAATGCGTAAAGAAATTAATAGTTGGGCATTATCTTGCATTAATTGTCAAAAATCTAAAGTTACTAAGAACATAAAAACTCCAATTCAAAAGATTTATATTCCTTCTGCACGATTTGAACATATTCATATGGATCTAGTAGGACCTCTTTCAGTTTCAAAGGAGAATCGATACATATTAACAATCATTGACAGACATACTCGATGGCCTGAAGCATATCCACTTAAAGACAGTTCAGCGGTTTCTGTTGCAACTACATTTATTCAAAATTATTTACTCGTTTCGGTATCCCACTCAGTATAACGGTAGATCAAGGAACACAATTTACTTCAATATTATTATATGAATTAACAAATTTATAAGGTTCTCACAAAATACACACTTCTCCATATTATCCACAGTCGAATGGAATGATTGAAAGATTTCATAGAACTTTGAAAACTGAAATTACAGCATCAAATGATTCAGTTCACTGGTCTGAGATTTTAATGTGAGTTATTTTAGGTTTACCAACAGCAATTAAGGAAGATCTCAAAAGTTCTTCAGCTGAATTATTCATATATATTATTATTATTATAGTTCATGGTCAAACACTGCGACTTCCGGGTTAACTTATTGTTTTCAATTATAATTATAATAACGATATTGAAAATACAAATGAAATTCTTTCTAAATTAAAAAAATATTTCTCACTTGCTCGATCGAAAGTAATACATCATTCCAAAAAAATTAAGTTATTGTGAATACGTATTTGTTAAAGTTATTCATAAGTCTAATCTTCAATGCTCTTTGAAGGACCACTTAAAGTTATATCCAAACATAACAAAACTATTGAAATACAATATGAAATTAAAATTAAAACAATATCAATAGATTTACTCAAATCTACAAACATTATGTCAACCACTCCTTTACGAAACACAACTACACTAATAAACACCAATCAAGAAAAATTTAGATTTAACCTTAATTAATATTTTAAAAATATGTGTTTCACTGGACATGATTGCAAACTCTGCTTGGTGACTTAAATGGCATTTAATGCCTCCATGACGTAATATACCCAAAGGGTTGATACTTGAATCCAGCACAAATTCAACAAGCTACTTGGCTGTCAGATCGAAAAACCCATAACTACACTAGATCAAACATATTGCGATAAACGTGCGACAGTTGTCCAATTTTCTGTACCTGGGTACGCTCTGAGGTCTTAACATCAACTCGGACCTTATTATTTAGTAGCAGAGCAGCCACTTAAAAGAACACTTGTCAAGCATTAAGGTTCTACGTCCTGCTCCGATCACAACAGACAGACAAATAGTTTTTTACTGTTCTTACATTTCTACTCTATGAGAAACTATGGGTTTTCGGTAAGGTTAAAAGCATAGCTGGTTCGATGAGGATTATCATTTCGCAGTAAAAAAAATATTGCTTGACTCGCAGTATTTCTGTCTGAAGACATGCCGAGAGATGCAGAGGAAAGCAAGATATATTTGCAAAGGAAAAGCAATACACCGAAATTGGTGAGCACAAGAAGCTTGGAGAGACAACCTTATGTAGGGTTCAAAGAGGTGATCTAATGACTGTTTGCTATATTTATGATGTCTCCAATCCGCTGAATAGCAGTGAATGTGAAGCACTCGGAAGTGGTGAACCCGATACCGGTATCTATATTGAAAAAGACCACCTTAAGGTCAACACAGCGGCGGAAATGGTCCAACAGCAGAGCATTTAAGATACAGTAACATAGATCTGGTAGAGTGCATACATTTATTTACTTGTAAAATTTGGTCAGATTTTTCTTGTGGGTATTTTAGAGGAAGAAAAAAATATATATTTGGATTTATTTGCAAATAAGTTAACTCTACTCTTTTCTTTTCAGTTGAAATCGGAAGACTTAGTAAAAGCTTATATTGACCGTATTAAAGAAGTGGATCCGCATATTAATGCAGTGGTGCAGGATCGTTTTGACGATGCCTTAGCGGATGCAAAACGTGCTGATGGACTCATAGCCAAAACCTCAGATGCAAACCTGCCGGCACTCTTCAATCGCTACACGTTACTGGGCGTTCCATTCACAGTAAAGGAAGCTTGCGGCTTGAAGGGTAGGAAATTATATTCCAAGCATTGATATTTAGTATTTGTAACTAATCACTCTTTAAAGGTATGCCGTTTCGAGTTGGCAGCCGTAAGCGCGCCCACATGATATGCATGGAAAATGGTGAAGTAGTGGGTAATGTTGTAGCTGCTGGTGGCATACCATTGTTGATTTCCGCAACACCGGAATACTGCTTCAGTATTGAAACAAATCCAGCCCCACCGCAGAAGCCATGTTTAAATCCATATGATAGTAGGCGTGCATCGGGTGGCTCTTCAGGTGGCGAGGTGAGTTATTTGACAATAATTATATGCTATATATGTATGTATGCTTTGTATGTATATTTATTACTATAAAATAGGGTGCTCTGAATGGCGCTGGCGCCAGTTTGTTTGGGGTTGGTTCCGATCTCGGTGGATCCATACGTATTCCAAGTTTATTTTGCGGCGTGTTTGGGCATAAGCCTACTGGTGGCGTCACTTCAATTGTGGGTCACTTTCCAGGCTCTAGCGAAGAAAATGTCAAACAATATCTACAGCTGGGTCCAATAACACGCTATGGGCGTGATTTAGCTTTACTAATGCAGGTGATGGCTGGCAGAAATGCTCAAAAATTGGATCTGCTCACGCCGGTAGAGACAAAAGATATTAAAGTGCGTACACTCAGCGAAAATTCATAATTCTGAAAAATACTTATATGCTTGTAAAATTTCTTTTGCAGATTTTTTACTCATTCGGTTTCGATGGTCCCAACGGTATTTTGCATAAATCGACTGACTTAGATGTGCAGCTTTCCATATTAAAAGCTGTGAAATATCTAACGAATCACGGTTGTAAAACCGAATTAACATCAATGAAGATTTTTGAAAACTCAATGGAAATATCATTCGGTGAAATAGCGATGATAAAAAAGTTTCCCTTCTTGATCAATAGCACAAATCCGCATAAAGTCAGAGAACACATTTTTGAATTGTGTAAATCTCTTGTTGGTAGATCAGAATACACAAAAGAGGCAATAATGATTGATTTACTACGTTATACCAACGGATTTATGCCAGCAGCTAATCTAGCGAAATACAAAGAAAAAAAACAAACTTTAATTACCAAATTATCTGTAAGTCACTCACTAGTTTCAAATTTATTATTCAGCTAAATTTTTTAACAACTTAAATGAACTTTCAGGAAATGTTGGGTAATGATGGCGTTCTTTTACTTCCCACATTCCCAACACCGGCTATTCATCGTAACACGTCAGGCTTGGCATTGTGGAATATAGATTATTGCATGCTTTTCAATATTATTGGATTTCCCAGTACGCATGTACCCATGGGCCTTGACCAGAATGATCTACCAGTAGGATTTCAAGTAGTTGCCGCACCATACAGAGATAAGCTTTGTTTCCAAATTGCTAGTGAACTGGAGGCCTCATTAAATGGTTGGATTGTTCCAACCCCCAATGACTTACAACCGTTGAATGAGTCAATTTTATTCTTATAAAAACAATATTTTACTAACTTTTTAACACTTAACCTTGCTCTGGTTTTAAATAAATATATGAAAAATAAATGTATAAATTCGTGAACATTCCAAAATATCGAACAGTAACTGATTTAACTACATATAAAGTGATTGAAACTTTCACTTTAGTATATCTATGTGCGGGCATTGGACCATATGGACGATTCGAAAAAAGTTCGACTTGAGGCATGTACATATTGTTATTGGGTATTCTCTTGGCAAAACATATTAATTTTTTTTTTACTATGAAATTGACAGGAGAACAGTTTTTGGGAATTACCCATTTATGGTTCGTTTGCTTTAGATTGATAAGCGTGGTTGGCTTAAATTTATTCGGACAATATTGCTGCAGCTTCCCAAAATCATAGCGACTATGTAAAGTTATCGCCTCTTGCCGATGCCGTTACTGACGATTGTACTGAATAAACCAGCGGCGCTTTGATTTTTTCCGTAAAACTGGTTCAGGTCATTGCTACCTGTTATACGACGTTGCCAGTAATGACTTTTTTAAACGTATATTTAAAAAACTAAGAAAGTGTGCAGTTTTTAAAAAAATTGGAAACTGAATTCCTAATTATTTATTTATTACCATATATACATACATATTTATGTATTTAGATCATTAGAATGGCATTTCAAATAGTTATGTATTGTAAATTACAAATTTGCTACAAATCATACGAGCACACTGGGAGCTGGCAACATTTCGTCGTTGTTAGCAGCTGCTTCTTCCAGTCAATTGAAACGGTTGGGTGGTATGTAAAATGGGTAGTTGACCTAGACGTGGTGTTTAGACGCTCATATATTTCATACAGTTTATTGTCGTAAATTCACTGCATAACCAGCGTTGTCTTCGAAAACTCAGACTTACCTCAACTGCATATACATGGACGGGAATGTGAGTGACTTTAATGTTTAGTCTTTGTCCGTCGTGAGAAGACTATAAAAAGATTATTTCATCGTGTACTGGTTGCCTACGAGACTCACTCCCTTCGCTTTTTCGCTTGCCGTTCCCGATTTTGACGCATTGCTTTGCAATAGTTTACACAGTTCTATAAAAATCAACGAAAATCTGATGTGTGTCGATTCTTTTGTCCGTTCTTCGTCACTTTATTTAAACAGCTCAGCCGGTAAGCCGTTGGTTTTAATCGGCTCTTTAGGACGGTAGCTTCTTCCGAACTTCGTCATAAATGTATCTTGCCTCCCACTTAATTTTTCAGTATCGCTAACAAAACGTTTGAATGGGTGCTCTCCTTGAGAGTGAGAGTTCAAGCTGATCATAAAAACAATGGCCTTATATTGTTGACGGGCGTTTTTGGCTAGATTGAGACGGTTGCGTATTTTCGAAGCGACCAGGTAGCATTGCTTGTTTAAAACACTGGAGATATGTCTTTCGTTTAGCACGACTTGGTCAGTTCATTTAGTGATGTTTCATGAAGGCTTATCAACTAATGCAGAATCAGCGCTATATTATTGCGGACTATGGCAAGACTTTTGTCTGAGTAACGAAATCTCCATCTAAACAACTTGCAAATAAATTCTTATCGCTTTGGGGGTTGATCTTTACCTGAAGCTTTAGATTTTGCCGTGAAATAATAATGGTATCAAATCCAAACAAATCTTCAAGAATAAGTTAACTAGGACAATTAATCTACAAGAGCTGAACCAGATTATCAATTTGACTGATGCATAATAAAAACAATACTACGCAGTTTGGAAGCAAAAAATATTTTCATGCACAATTCTTCCAGATATTCAGCAAGTATTTCACAGAGTCGAATACTTCTGTATAAAGGTAAAAGCCCCCCTCGCTCTATCACAGATAATACTTTAGTAAAAGTAATATCTCTGTTATAGAATTCAAGGCGAAATTCCGGATACTTACGACATAAAGGCAGGAGATATAAAAGACAAAAAAATGTAAGCCTTACTAAAAGGACAAATCGCATTTAAGTTAAAATTAAGTATTATAAAATTATGGAGAAAAAATTACATATTACGATTTTCAACACACAGAATTACTTGAACATCTTGTACTTAAGTAAAAGAAAGTCGAGTGTTAATCACCTTTGCTAACGCGATATTTTTATTGCATTATATAATTAGCTACATACCAATCGCGCTGACAATGTAATTAATTATGGTTTTAATAAAATGCCTGCCATTAATCCTACTTGTACGTCTCATCTCTTTTCTAAATCCCTTACGTTAAAATTTTATACTTCTTGCTGAGTACGTGAAATGAATTTTAAGCGCAATAAATTTGCATATTCATTTATTAGTTCATTAAATATTAAATATACTTTACACTATACTTTGAATAATAATGTAATTTTTTATACAAAACATTCTGAATGCTCATAAAGTACTTTAAAGTCTCACTTTTCTTAGAGAATAAATTATTCAGGCCGCACACTTACGTTTTATATTTTTATATACACAGGTATCGAGCGATGTAGTTGCCTGATACTCGCTCAACGCTCGCTTATTGAAATGTTATGTAAAAGAAATTACGAGTATTTTCTAAAAAAAAAACATATACTTTTTATTTATCTGCCTACATCTGTCGTTGTAAAAGTTTGATTTGGCACTGCGCATCTAAGTATGGAGCTACATATGACAACGCCCTTATCTTGCAACCACTCCTGCCGAAAGTTCACTCAATATCAATTAATAAAGGTGGGTCATAGCAATGTGATGCTGTCGAATCAACCAATGATATCATGACCTAGACTGGATGATTTAAGGTATTTGAAAAGGGTGGTATAAGGCTTGACTTAAATACGTCAATTATGTACAACTGAGGTTATTTTTACAAAACCTGGGGCTTTTCCTTACATATCTTAATCACAGAAGTTAAGGTCTATATCCCGAGGTTTACAAAATTGATTTATCTATAGCTTCGAAATATATTGTAAATGGTATATTTTGCAAAAGTTTAATATCAACAAATAAAAAAGTAAAGTACCTCCGTAATAAAAATCGTAAGGGGTAGAATGAATGAATAAAATAATAGAAATTTTAAAATGCAATTACAAAAATTAATTCCTGAGTTAATTTAGCTGTGCAACATAAATTCTTATTGGCATCTTGTTTCACTGCGTTTTCACCATCTTTTTCTACTGTCTCGATCTAACCAATTAGGAAAATGGTTTATCTGGTCAAACCTTAAATCCGATATTGAATGTTTGTGTTTTTTTATCTCCGTTATATCAGCTTACTCCTTAAGCAAAGTATGTCAGCTGTAGGTTGCTACAGTAGGCATTGGCTTCAAACAGTCTAAATAAGGGTTAGGCAAAGTATGTCAGCTGTAGGTTGCTACAGTAGGCATTGGCTTCAAACAGTCTAAATAAGGGTTAGGCACTTTTTAAATAAAAAATATATTTTTCTGAAATTCATAGGATCTACAATTGACGTAGTTTTTATACATTTAAAAAAATCAAATTTCTATGATAAAATTTTAATCCCCAACATCATATTTGAACAAATTGGATTCTTCATATTATTATTATTATATAGTTGGCTACTTGTTGTCTGGGAGAGAATGGTACAGTGTGTTAAGCGAGTGCTGTGCCAAACGCTAAAGGAAGTCGCGCCATGAGAACACACATTAAATTGCTTTCTGCTCGAGACGGAAAATGTCGTAAACTCTCGGCCTCTTACGCACTTACCCGTATCCGGTGATCAAGAACAACCATTAATGCCGAATGATTTCCTGCTGGGATCCCCGCAAACGCCCAGTGTGACAGATATACCAGCCAGTTCAAGCGCTATGCGACAGCAGTGGTGAGTAGCTCGTCAGTTTAGAGATCACTTCTGGAAGAGATGGGTGCGGAGTACCTTCCCATTCTGACTGTCGACCAACTAAGAAATTAAATGAAGGAAATTTAGTGTTCCTGTGTGATCATAATTTGGCCAGAAGACAATGGAGTCGAGGAATAGTAGAGCGGCTATATCCTAGTAAAGATGGTGAAATCCGCCAAGTGGACGTACGCACGAACTCCGGGGTCAAGCGGAGAGCTGGCGCGAGACTAGCCGTTCTGGATGTTGAAGTTAGTGAATCGTATGATTCACGGGGGCGGGGATGTCCCAGAACGCCACCTTGTATTTAAGTGATGTCTCAGTACGCCACCTTATATTTGAGTTATGAAAACTATTTAAACCAGTCTGGCCATATTGTAAACTTGCCGCTATGTGTTTTCCCCTTCATCTTCTGTTCGTTTTGTACTGAGGCGAATTCGCCCGCGTATTTGAGTTGTTCATTTTTATATCAGTTCATTCGTTAATAGACTACCGGGAATGGCACACAGTGGTGAGGCTTCTTTTATATCATTTTATTAGATTGTGAATTCATTAAAATTGTTTTAGAAATAAACCACATCCATTGAAGTAAATGTGCGTTAAATTCGTTATTGAATCCGGTATCAACTACACTTGTAATCGCTGAAAATATTTTCGTCCGGTCTCCTCCTCTACTAGATGGTAGCGTCTTAATGTTTTTCTAACAAATATAAAAACCTACAGTTTATTCTAAGCTCCCTCGAACGGCCTATAGATTTTTATTCTAAATCAGAAATAGAGTCGGGTGCGTTTATATTGCCTGTCGAGAGGCGATCGCAATTAGAAAAAATAGTTTTCTCTCGTTTTGGATATTGGTCGAATAATGACCCGAAGTCTGGTACTCAGAACAGCAGTTCGAAATGCTAACCGTTCGGTTATTGCGGTTGCCACAATATTTAGCAGAATATTGTTTTTCAAACAGACGGACAGGCAGACAAACATCAGATGTGCATGACTAAATCAACCTTTAACGGACGTGAAAAACACTCGCTGGACTTTTGTTATTTGATCCATTTTTCGAAAGACCGTACTTTTCAACACGAAGGTTGCTAGGTTAGTCGACCTGTATGATTCCCGTAGAGCTGTCAAGCATGCTCTACCTGTGTATACCGCAGCGAATCTTTGTATCAAAAGGGTGCGCACTTTTCAAATTCAGTTCTCGAGTGTTGCTCAACTGCTTGTCGATGTGCTTGAGTTATCCATTTGGAAAAATTATTTTCACCATCTCGATCCG